AAGTACCATGTTTTTTGCAAGGGGTACTATGAAGGAAAATGCATGGTGGAATGCTGATGACAGCTTATTTGGAACACTGTAAAGTACCATGTTTTTTGCAAGGGGTACTATGAAGGAAAATGCATGGTGGAATGCTGATGACAGCTTATTTGGAACACTGTAAAGTACCATGCTTTTTGCAAGGAGTACTATGATGTTGTGGAGTACAATTTTCGCACAGTTATAACACATGTTTTCTTTCAATTAGAAAATTATTTTTTATTTTGTAAGCGCTCCCTAACTCTGATCTATGAAAAAAACACTTCAAAATACACCGCCGTAGATTTTCTGAAAGGAAAGGTGACCTATGAATAATGCAATAAACCTGAACCATGCTGTCCTCTTTGATTGATGCGAAGGGATTTCTGAAATCGCGTATGGGTTCTCTCTCACGCTGATGAGGAGGTTGTGTTAACACTTCCAAAGAAAAAGTGCGTCTTATAGTGCGCAACGTTTAATAACCAGTCCCATAATTTTACATGTATTAAAAAGCCCAATTAACAGACTCATACGAAATCGGTTGGGTTGATTTCTGTTCTCATGCGTAATAAATTTTGTTATGATATACAAAGATCATCATGAGAAATCGCCACATAGTCCCATACGAAGTTCCAAGCCTACGCTGCCGCTACAGTTTTACCAGACAGTGAAGAATGCAGCTAATCTGGCTATAAAATATTTTAGAAATACAAAACAAAAAGTTTTTCTTTGCATTTCTCTGCAAACCGCATCGTTCTACGTTCCATATTTTTCATATTACAGATTTTTTATTTATTGTTGTTTTGATCACGTGGTGCATATAAAAAGTTCATAATAAAATTTATAGCTATAATCTCGCTGGGATTATAGTTGTAATCTAATATGGATATAGGCAACTATAGTGTAGTAATGTAGTATCAGAATCAACGACAGTAAACTGGAATGAATGTACATTAATGCCGATAGCAGATTATATCCACTACAGTATGTTTGTTGAAGAATTAATGAATTTACCAGGTTATATCCACTACAGTATGTTTGTTGAAGAATTAATGAATTTACTCAACCATTTTGTACTGAAGTTTTAGTAAGAGAACTGAGGGATGTATTTTTATATTCTTCTAGTAATTAGTATTTGCTAATGCAGAATTCTAGCAAATAATGTTATGAAAATAATGTGATTTTAGTAAGTAGTGTCAGGAAAAGTTAACTCATTAAATTTAGTTTAGCACTAAAACAAAAACTCATCACTTAAATTGTTAGTTCCGAGAAATCTTTGACAGTTTAGGTTTTAATTTAATCAAGATATTACTTTAGAACTGAAGGTAATAATTAAGTAACTGTTAATTGAAAAAGAAACATATTAATGTAGAATTTTTAATTAAAGAATTCTGTTCCTTTCCCACAATTGACTTTATTTTTAGTTTTATTCAAAGCCTACGCGAACCTACGATTACATTCTTGCCCAGATTTAAAATGTTTATAAATCTTAAATATTTATGTGTATTAGGTGTGCTTCTTCCTAATTAATTAGGTATTTCTAATTTATTAAATATATCGTGTGTTTTCAATTTTTTTAAGTAAGGAGCGAACTGATCAAAATCGCTAAAGGCTATAGTCAGTTAATATTTTAAGATATTTCTTGGTTAGGTGTTACGAACTAGTTTAGGTTGTGATATAAAACCGATTTTATTTTGCATTTGCTAGGAACAGAACTAGTGGTTCTTTATAAATAAAGATAGCAAAAAATCCCAAAATAGCATTTTATTTCTGGGATAGACTAAAAACCTGAATTTTCTTATTTTGATGCATCAAAAGTGCCTATTTATCTTCATTTCGCCATTAATATGTGCTAGCTTTAGCCGTAACTTGCCCTAGTTTATTGGCAAATCATGGCCAATTCATTTACATCAGATATTTTTTTTTATTATTTATTTATTTGAACAAAATTTAAGGCATCAGTCAGTGACGCATCTGTTTACATTCCGATAAAAAAATGCTTTTTGATGTGTACTATTAAAAGGAGTTCTATCTTAGTAAAACCGCCCTTGGGAATAACGCAATTGGTCCTCATCAAATACTTTTTAAGAAATCCTCCCCTTTAAATATTTTCTATTTGAAAGTTATCATCTTAATGTCACGTGCTGAATGAATGATTGCATGCACAAAATTATTCCGAGCCGTAATTCATCGTCATTTGTTGGGAATCGATTTGCAAATTGAAGGTAAAGGGAGAAAAACTTTTTCCTTTCAGTTGTTTTTCTTTTTCATCAAGTAATAAATTTTCTCTCTTTCTTTCAGATACCTAAAACTTTTCAAGGATCTAAAATCACTTTAATGCAGTTTCCATACTTAAATCTGTCACCGGAAACAAATTGGTTCCATTAACATGCTTGTACAAACAAAGGGATATAGCTGAATAAAAATTAACCTGCACATTGTGTCCCCTAGTTTTTGTTAAAAATAGAACGAGGGAAAAAAAGTCGCGTGTCATTTCGTTACATAAAAACTTTTTTTTTTTTTTTTTTTTTTTTTTAGTCGGGGATTTTTGCATATTCCGCTTTAACAACACTGAAAAAGAAAATATTTTTTTTTAAGAATCTGGGATACCGGCTGGGCGTGTGACAGCGTAAAACGATCTACAAATCGGTTTCCCCGAATAAAAAAAAAAGTAAAAATAATATATAAAATGGGGGGCGGAAGAAAATGTTGCCCCAGAGCTAAAAAAACCAAAGTCATTCTTCCAGATCAATAAGCAGCTTTTTTTTATACAGTGATTATCCTTTTTTTACTGTCAACATTTTTTGACAGCCCATATCGTTCAAATATGGAATCTACGCTTACAATTCTTTGAAAAACGGGTAACCGTCAGTAAAAGCTATAATTTTTTTTCTTTCGTTATTATCGGAAGCCTTAGTACAGAGAAAAGTCTATCTCGCGTAAGTTTCCGTCGCGCGGATATTTTTTAGATCGAAATGGGACATGTATAGCTGACAGTAAGTGGAAGTCAAAGTTGTTTTATATTTTTTATAACTGTAAGGCATGGGAAATGGTGTTTCAGTCGATGACTCATGTCATGACTGCCACTTTTTCATCAGAAGATGTCCCATATGACTTGGGTCCGGAATTGACGGCTGGGAATATATTTCAGATGCTTCTTAAATTATATACTATATACACATATATCCACTTTAGTTGCTATCACTTCTTAGGAAAACTTGACGTTCTTATGGAGATCAGACATTCTTGACATGCAACAAGAAACGCTTTCATGCTAACGACGTATATATACTAGAAAATTCTGAAAATTTCTTAAATGGAATTTCTACTGTATATTAATTTACGAAAGTTTTCTGATCCATGTCTTAGCACTATAAAATCCAGAATCTGCATTTCTTTACGCTTTTACCGCTATGCATTTTCTATGCATATTCAAACGTTTACATTATACTGAAAGGATGGTAATCATACTGAACACAAAATAATTATTGCGGGAAAACCAAGCTGCCCTTCTCTCAAAACCATATATATGTAGAGCAGTATTTTTGGTTTATTAGCGACAATACATATATACGCGTAATTGGACATATTATTTTTGAGTATCTATGAAACGACAACTCAGATAGCGACAATAATTGAATTCGATTTAATTAAAAGCAGCAAATGATTTAATTAAAATGAACTAACAACTGCGAACACTCTCAAAAATATTCCAAACTATGTAACTATGTTAAAGCAGAACGCGCAGCATCCTCTGTTATAGTATTGGAATAAATAAAAATCACCAATTTCTTGAAGCGTAATCATAGAATTTGAATGAATTACAATCACCAGTATTCTGAAAATATAAACCTCAAATTAGAATGAATAACAGTCAAGTAGTATTTTCGAAACGTAAATGTGAATTCGAATAAATTATAATCAGTAACATTCTTAAATTATAAATGTGGAATTAGACTGAAGCATAATTTCAGTATTTTTGAAATATAAACGTAGGACTTGAATTAATAATAATCATCAATTTCTTGAAATGAAAATCTGGCACTAGAATGAAAAACACTTATTAATATTCTCAAAAATATTTCAGAGAATCTTCCAACACGGCTAAACATTTCTTGCCTTATTACCAAAACACGTTGTCAGAACGAGATATTTCGATACTAAAAATAAACTCAGATACTCATAAAAATTAAGGCAACAATGGCGGTAACGGTCAGTTGAAGTTTAAAACTGTCTACGAAAACTTCGATACTAACAGATATTCCTCGCATTATTTAGTGCCACTGCAAATGAAATCTAGTTTTGTTTTCTCCAGTGTCTAACCCAGATACTGCACAGTCCATAAAGTGATACGCTTGAATGAAATGGCATGTCGCAATTTTGTCGTCCTTGTAATATTTTGTAAAGATCTGTGTATGCATTCACTCCAGTAAAGAAGCAACATGGTTTATCAAGAACATAAAATGCTAAATATAAAAAATACTGTTTTTACACCGTTTTGAAATTTTAGTTTAACAGCTGAAAGATTTTCAAGCTGAACATTTATGACAGACATTTTAGTTTTAAAACTAATTCCAGAAACTTAAGCTAAGGAAAAACTAAACCTAGTACATTTAATTTAAAATAACAGTACCAAACAAACTAAATAATCCCAAGCTCTTCCTATGATGTTACTCAAACATAAACTAATGTGACGTGTGCAGATCTGTGCGCTTCTTTGACAAATTAAAGACATTATAATTATCCAAGATAGAGCTGTGGATGGTTTTCGCTAAGATCTCTTTCAAAGTAATTCCGCGTAGTAAAGACACGACACGTGACTTCAGGCGTTAAGGAATAAAATAGTTTTGTTATGTCTATAGTATCTGTTCAAAAAGAGTTTTGTTACGTGTTTTATGCCATTTCATTATATTATAGTAGTGCTGATTGTATATTAGTTTAAATAAATGTCTTACAGTTGTATGTACTTTGTCATATTTCAGTGCCTCCAGTAATTGATCCACACTACTTTAGAGAGAGTATCACTGTAGACGAAGAAGCCAGAACCAAACTTATGTGCGTTGTGATCAAGGGCGATCCTCCTATGCGCTTTCACTGGTTGAAAAACGGGCAGACATTTCTAGCGCATGGTGATACCACAGTACAGACATTTGAGGATACATCTATCGTGACTTTCAAAAAAGTTGTGTCCACTGATAGAGGACAATATACCTGTGTTGCAACGAATGTAGCTGCATCCACTAATAGAACTAGTCAACTTATTGTAAATGGTAAGAGAAAAAATCATTTCTTTTCCTTATTACGTAGTATCGTATTTGCTGAATGTAATTTATTTTAAAATGCATCATATTATTCATCATTAAACATTTTTATAATTTTTCCAGTGACTTTCATTAATTTCTTTAACTGGTTATGATGTTTATGGAACAAGATAATGGATATGCGTTCTATGCTTAATTTGAAAAAGAGATGTATTATTAAATAAAACAAGGAATAGAAATGTTATCATAAAAATATGCGAATAAAAAGTAAGAAATAAGTTCAAACTAAATCTCGAAAGTTAAACAATTACTTGAAAAAATTAATATTAATCTTACGTGCATAAACTCCCTCTTTAGGTATCTTAGCAAAGAGAAATGAGATTTTACTTATAATTTCTACATAGATAAAATCTACGAAAGATACTTCCAATAACCTCTTGTCCTAAACATTTACTATATACAGCGTGTATCACTACAACGTTGACAAACTTTCAAGAGAGACAGGGTACACCTAGACGATGGGAAATCGCATAGCAATACATGGTCGGAAACGCTTTCCTGACGCGGAAGTTAACGACACAAAAGGCAAAAAAGGAAGGTCACAAAAGGTGAGACGAAACATGTTTTATTATGTTTAGTACAGCAGAAATCTAGGAATAAGAACAGAAACAAACAACGATCGTCATTAAAGAAGGTGTTCGAAATTACGCCCCCGAGCCATGATGCAGGCCTCAATTCTCTGGCGCATGGAAGATCTGCATCACGAACGGAAGATCGCATGGAAGATGCATGACGTACGGTTCGGGTCGTATTTTGAAAACCTTTGATGATGATCGTTGTCTCATTATGTGTTTTTCCTTTTTTTTTATTTATTTATTTTTTTTTTTAGTCCAAAGGGATTTGAATCCCGAAGGACTATAGTTCGTTTGGCTTTGCGTCGGATCATAAATGTCGTCCACAAAAATGTGTTCTGCAAATCTTAAGTTTAAATAAGAAAAAATTATGATCTTTCTGTATGTGATAAAACAACGTACATAGAGTCATCGAGTTGATAACGTATCCCCACAATTGAGCTGTGGAAGACCAAATTTGAAAATTTGTTTTATGATCGATTTCCTATTTTTAATCTTGACGAATTTAATTAAACTTAAGGATTTCAAACGAGCAAGCAACTTGTGCAGAAAAAATTTTTATCTCCAGCGCGTGAGTCTCTGTATCAGAAATTTTAAAGATATCTCGTTTTAAAACTATTTGGCGATATTGCTGTTGCACTGGATCTTATGGTTTAATGCGAGGAACATGATATTTAATAAAGAAGGTAAACACACTGTTAAAAAAGCCTTTGGACGAATTTAAAATCTGAAACATTTCAGATTTTTTTTTTTTTTTTTTTTTTTTTGGTACTCCGAATAATGAAAATGTTTTCTCACCCTGTTCGTGTCCTTTCTTTCTCGATTTTTGTATCGTGACTACGCGCCAGGAAAGCGTTTCCTGACTTGCATTGCTACGCGATTTCCCATTGTCTAGAGTTTGTCACCCCTGTACTAATTAGCTCTGTATATCAATGTCGTAGGAAAATAGCAATCCAAAAATATTTGTACGTTAATTGCTCTTTTCTGACTCGTATGTTGGAAGGCATGCAATAGGAAAGGATATGGGGATTCAGTAAGCCACCAACAAGTCCAAGAGCATTCAGTTAGCCAATCAAGATTGCATTTAGCCATTTTATTGCTGTGAAACATTTGGTACACACGGCTATATTTGTGGGGGGAGACATACCTAATCATAATCGCTCATCTTACGTAGGATATTTTTTCTACTAGTACTATAAAGATGCTATTTTTCAGATTCATAAATGTCATTTCACAGCAAATATAATAAAGCTGAACCATTAACATAGTTTACGAGCCATCACTACTACTGAATTTGCGCTACACATATTACACCTGTAAGTAAATGTAACCCATAGCTATACAGAATAAAAACTCATGAAAATTTCAGAAACAAATCACTCATCCTGTGAAAACTTGGAACTCTATGCTAGTTGATTGCATTATATGTCTTACAGTGATAACTGTGCCTCCGTTTTATTGCCTTACACAATAATGCAACAGATTTGTGTATAATCTGTTTGGTGTGGTAAGGGTAATGTATTATTTCGGTATATTTCAAAGGATTTCCCTTGTAATAGAGGTATCACTTAAATTTCATTAAGAATCAAAATATAGATCTTGATATACGTATATGTGATATTTCGGCATCCAAGTTCAAGCATGGTTTTTGCAGAGTGGTAAGGCTAATCCAAAAGAAGAGGCAAGTTGATTTAGTTTTTAATGGTACATCTTTATTCCATAGCTTTTATTCAATTATCACTATAGATCATTTATTCGTTACTAAATAAGAGTATTTAAACTTAAAGCGCCATAACTTATTCTAGTGAGCAGTGTCCTGGCGAGGACACTGCTCACTTTTCACGTCTTCTACTTTTAAATAGCCTAATGACTCTACATTTTCCACGAAATCATGGGATATAAGATAGTGTCATATTTATTATGAGTATTTTTTCTATGTTATACTTATTAGCCTTAGTATTTTGTGTCGTATTTGTTATTCTTCGTATTTTTTCTGTAACAATGTGTTACCAGAATATTTCAGAGCTATTTTACGCTTACCAGCTAGCTGTATTTTAACTTTCATTAAAATAGAATTCAATTAAAAAAAATATTACATACGTGGAACCGAAGGATTTAATAACATTTGCTCTAAAAGATATTAAAAAAAGCTTCACAAGATAAAAAAAATTCTTCAAGGATAGAAAAAATCAATCAAAAACCTTTGAAACATGTGAGTTATGTTCTTGGAACTATAAATGGGAGAGAATTCACTATATCTTTTCGATCGACACCTAGAACTCAAGATGAAAGGGAGAAGATTAATTAGGAGATGGATGGAGAAAATTATGAAAAAGCTAAGAGAAATCACTAAAACCCGTGTAAAATATGTGAGAATATTTGAATAAAATCTTCTGAAGACCTTACTGTGAAGATGAAAAAATAATTCTAAAAATAAAACTTTCTTCTTGAAAAGGATTGTGCAATTCAGTGAAAGAGTGACACATTTAGAAGATTAATTCATGATGATCGTTTTTACCAGAATACAGTGAAAATTCTTTTAATTTGCTTTGTATTAGCAACAAGAAGTTTTTGCAAAATAATTCTTTGTGAACAGCAATGTTAATTTACAAGTAAGTAAATCATTTCTTAATAGTGGAAATACGTAAGATGTTTCTTTAAGCTTGCACGTTGCAAATTTTTAACCTATTGACTACGTTTAGTTTAATAATCACTAGGATTATTTACAAATGCAAATGATCTTTAAACCTTAAATTCATATTCTTTTCTTCTAGAACCCCTTTTAGGAAGTAATTAGAATTACACTTTTTGTTTATTATTACACTTATTGCTTCCAAGTAGAAGAATTAATTTTGTAAATGTTATATTTCATGGTAAAATGGTAAAATAATTTTTAAAAAGTTGAAACTTAAAATAAAAAAATAAATAGTAATTAAGGTCCGATTTTCAATCAGATGCCAGCTCAAGCCTTGAAATGGATGCAAACTCATATCTTTGCGATGACAAACTTGAAAGATCAGAGCATATATCTGTTGCAATTAAAAGCAAATATTTATGTGTTATTTTCTAATAAGTCAAAACCTGACCTTATCAACAAGAAGAAATATGTACTCCTAAATTCGCTTCCCGCATTTAAAAAGGCAGATCAAAGCTTGCTAGGAAGCTAAGCATATTTTTTCGAAAGTGTTTAGCTGAGAAATTTATTTGTGCTTATTTAAAAAAAGCGATAACGATCCTCATCACTTAAGTCGAAAAGCAACACTACTGAGAACAAACAATGTTTTATGTCATGTGATGGATATGTGACAGATTTTTGTCTTTCCTGGACTAACAATTTTTGACAGACCACTTGACCACTTGGGATATAAAGATTTGCTTTATTTAATTATAGCAAAGTACTCGAGGGCTATCTGCCAGAAGGTAAGCATGCCTTCATGGAGGATTCTCTAAGGGAAACTGGCTCTTATACGCGTCACACATGGTAGCTGATGAAGGATTGTTAGTGTAATTTGACGTAACACGTAGCATAACGGTAATGTTACAGAAGGAAGACCTAATTCAAAAAACTTCGTTTTATATACGTATATATATATTTCTAATATCGTAAAATATATAATTATTAACACGTGCTTACTTGAGAAATGTAAATTAATGAACAATTGTAGTTGTTATGAATTCTACGAATAGAAATTTGCTGAAATACTGGCTAATAGGTAATCATACAAACGTTTAATTTTCTTTTTTTTTAATTAAATGCTATCATTCGATAAAATCAAAGTCTTTACCATTGAATGAAGTAATTGCTAAGGAAAAAATTTACTTTTAAAAGCTGGAAACTTGAGGGATTGCATTCCGTTTTTAACATAGAAAGTTATAAATATAATAGATTGAGTTATTATCAAAATGGATATTTCAATAAGAATTCAATAAATATTTTGATAATTTGAAACTATAGAAAAATGCATAAATATATAAATAATAACTTAATTTATCAATACCTCCTTAATTCTTCTTCTTAATTTGCGTATTTCTAGTCATTATTATCTAGTCATTATATGTAAATAATAACTTAATTTATCAATACCTCCTTAATTCTTCTTCTTAATTTGCGTATTTCTAGTCATTATTCTAAAATAGTAGCTGCTTATAATAAATTTTTCTGAACAGCTTCATTTCTATATTAATTTAATCTATAGCATTCGACTTTTACATATCGTTGTGATAAAAAATTGCGTAAGCCGTAAGCCTTAATATTCTTAGGGATTTATTGATTATCCAGTCAAGTGGTATTGGAACCGAATGCAATTTTTTCTAATTTAAGACTTGAAAACTTCGCCATTGATTCTCGGCCTAACTAGACTTCTGCTGTCTACTTGC